TCATAAAGAAACCAGTCTCACAGAGTATATTGACTACAAATAAAGAAGAGGTTTTAAGTAATTTTTAAAAGCTTAAGGTATTCCTTTTTACCTTCTATTCAAGATGAAGTAAGTGAAGCTGTATTTTCAAAACTCATCTTCAGTCCTTCATCACCAGCCAATTCCTATGATTATCTTCTGTGAAACATTGGATCCTGTACATGATATACTTTGTGTTATGATAGATGAACTAATCTTGAAATATCACATGTTGCAATATTTGTGTGACACCCAAACTGGTCTCTACCCTGTTCAGTAAGACAGAGCCCCTGTTAATTAACTTGGATAACACAGCCTTGCCAAATGGTGACAGACTGTTTTAATGCTTACTCCTAAGGTCTGTACTTACCTCACTGAAGATTGCTAAGTCTGGGGACTGGCAGCCCCTTGACCACACTTTGAATAGCACTGCTGTAGAATTTCTCATTTCTAAACCAAGCTCTTAGTTCTTTCAATCATCGTTCACAGGAAGTTGTGGTTCCTAGATCCTTGGCCATCCTGATTACTGTTCTCTAGAAATACAGGAAAATCCTTTCGATGTGCCTCTTAAAATGTGTTTCTGATGTATATGACCAGGGCACAACACAGTGGGGCTGCAACCTTCAGAGTCTTCAGATTCATGCTTCTGGTCAGGCATCCTGAAGTTGGTGTCTCAGTCTGGCAACCACATTACATGGTTAACTCACATTAAGCTGAAATCTACTACAACTCTCCCAAAGCTATGAATAGGAACTGCTATTAAACTAAATGTATTCCATCCTGCATGCTCTATAGTTGATGATTGAAGTTAGGGTCTTTATATTTTACTTCACAAAAATTTCATCTTATTAACAGGCCATCCTTCAGTTCTGTTAAGATCGTTATACACCTCAATATCACCAGTCTGTAACAGCAATAATTAGCTTTATCTTGCCCTTTAAGGCTTATGTGGCATTTTCACACTTAATCTCTTTTGGTTGTGTGGACAAATAATGCTAGATGTGAATTATTATCATTCCCATTTATAGCTGAGAAGATTGACTCTCAAGAAAGGGTACCTTGTTCAAGGTCTCTTAGTGAATTACCTTGTGCCATATTCATACTTGGAAAACGTGAGTTCTCCTGGCTCATTCAAGTTATCCTTAAAATGGACATAACTTTGAGGCATCCTTCAGACATCTCTCCTTTAGTTGCATTCAGCCTTTTGATCACACTCTTTGGTGTGAGCTACTCAACCAGTTACCAACAAAACTCTCTGTAGCATCAAACACAATTAGCCATCTTGGCCACAACAATATCATGAGAACCTCTTGTCAGTTCTTTAGATAGAATCCAGACACTCTGTGTCTGGATTTCCATGGTCTACTAAACCGTTGAGATGAGAGATTAAAGTTTATTTGGTGTGTCTTTTTCTCATAAATACATCTGACTCCTAGAGATTTCCATTTTGCATTTCTAAGTAATCAAACTATTTGTTTTAAGCCTCAAAAAATGTATCAAACAGGGCGCCTGGGTGGCTCAGTCGTTGAGCGTCTGCCGTCGGCTCAGGTAATGATCCCGGGGTCCTGGGATCGGGTCCTGGGATCGAGCCCCGCATCAGGCTCTCTGCTCAGCGGGAAGCCTGCTTCTCCCTCTCCCACTCCCCCTGCTTGTGTTCCCTCTCTCACTGTGTGTCTCTCTGTCAAATAAATAAAATCTTTAAAAAAAAAATTATCAAACAGATGAAATCTCAACCTCTCCTAATCAGTACACTCCCACAATTATTACTGGAGAGTCTGCTCTATGCATGATAGTCTGCTGGGCCCTGATGTATTAAAAAAAAAAAAAAAAAAAAACTTTAGTGCAGTGTGGTTTTTATATGGTGGATCATGACCCATTGGTGGGTTGTGAAATCAGTTGGGTGGGTAAGAAACAATGTTTTTAAAAAATGAAACAGACTAAACTAGATTATAAAATATCAGAGTACAAACAAGGATAACTATTATAGCATTAGCTTGTTTGTTTTTTTTATTGTAATATATATGTGCCTTAAGCTGTGATGGAAAATTTTTTATTGTATGTCACTATCAATAGCTTGAAAGATCCTGCACTGGCAAAAAAAAACCAAACCAGAATCATGTCATAGCCCTTGGGACATACTATGATAATTATATGCACAAGGTGCAAAAGGAGAATGGGTGTTTTTTTTCTTTTTTCTTTGTGCTTTTTTTATTGCTTTGGTTTTAATTTGTTTGTTTTGGTTCAAAAGACCTAAATACTGCAAAATTTCCCTGAACTGTTGGCCTATTTTTCCAGGAGTTTGCCACTGTTTCACATGACTTGGTTGGGTTGTAAATACCTTCCTGTTGTTCAAAGCTAGTATAATAAGCTCTTAGAGTCTAGCAGACAGGGACAGACTTTCCAGTCCCAGTCCACAGTGCCCAGCTTGGCATCTTTTCTTGACCAAAATAAAGGAATCTGTATCCAACTAGTATGTGGTTTGCTAGTATCAGTTACCGAGTTTGGGCTAGCTTGAGAGAGAATTCATTGGAGCCCACACTAAACATCGTAGTTTCAATTTAAAATATCTACACTTTCTTTTAAAAGTATATCCTTTTCTGGCCTTCTCAAAAGGTATTTGCTGAAAGGGGTCTTTCAGAATGATAATGTAATATCAACTCCTTTTCACTACCTTCCTGAAATGTGATATGAAAATCCAGTGAGCTCAAGCTTCAACCTATTATGGTGCCTGATATATAAATAGCCCTCAAATGTCATGTCTTGTATCAATCACAGGGAAAGAGAAATTGAAAATGCTACAGAGAAAGTATAACTTTGATTCATCATCCTAGAATCTTTCCTTTTTTCCACTTGTACCAAGTGCATCTTTTAAAACTCTTTTGCCAAAGCGTTATATAACTTTTTTTTAACTCAAAGCTAATTTCCCAGTGTGATCCCAAAGCTATGTAATTCTCCATTAGTACCTTAGTTTATTTTTACTTTCTTCCACCTTCTACTGTACATGAATGTTTGAATTTGTCACTTAGTCCATCCCGTATGAATCTAGATTTTCAAGAAATAAGCAAGAATGGGGACATGCCAATATTTATTGACTGAACATCTGTTTACTTTTCTTTGAGACCAGAATATATTAAAAATTAAGGGGAGTTAAAGTGGGCATTAGATATGTAAAAAGTTAGGTAAGCAATCTTCTTAGATAGGCAACAAATAGATAAGCATTTGAGTCAACACTGGAAAATAACAAATACTCTTCAGTGAGGGCCTACTAAATGCATTATTTCATTTAACTCCCGCAGCAAACCTATGAGGCAGGGCCTGTTTTTAGTCCCATTTCATGAGTAAAAGAAACCTACTTTGGAGAGAGTAAGCAATTTGCAAACAATCATCAAAGCTCTTAACTGGAGCTACCAGAATTTGGAACCAGGTCTTAGAACCAGATGCCAAAGTAAAATAAAATAAACTTGATTCAAATAACAAACAAACAAACAAAAATATGGAGCAGTTACTATGTGCTTGGCGTTGGGGAGGATATAAATACGAATAAGACCCTGAAATACAAGCCCTTCTCTTGATGAGCTTACCTCTAAGGATTGACAGTGGATGTGAGTGGCATGAGCTTCAATTATCCTTAGAATAAATGCTACAACAAAGATCTAATACAAATGGTATGGAGCTCAGAGTAGAAAGTGTTCATGGCCTTGGAGCCAGAGAGCAGAGTGCAGTGAACTTGAGAGACACAACTGAAATGAGGCAAGAACAGTACATGGCAGGCAGGTTGAAAGGGCTTTGAATGCCATGCTGAAGCCTTCTAGGAAGGCCAAAGGAAGCTGAAGGCTTTGAAGCTGGAAAATGACATGATCATATTTGGATTACACTGTGGAAAGCTGTTTAGATGTGGGAGACGCTGGCGACAAGGATTCTAGCCAGGCTTTTAACTGTAGTAGACCCAGACAGGTGCCAAGGGCCTACACAAAGGGAATGGGAATGAAGATATGAATGAGGGAACAGATCTGGAAGTCATTTCAGGATTGGATCTGGGTAAATATGCATGACAAGGAGGGGGAAGAAGCCGATGAATCCACTCGCCTTGGAAGGAGATTATTTTTTGCCCTAGGCCACGGTCTGTCCTGGGCCATAAAGATTTGCAAAGATCAATGAGGCCGTCTCTGGCCACGGGGAGCCCAGACTGGCATCTCTCAGGGGATTCATACTCAGGCACCACCCAGATAGGTCAAAGAAATGTGTGAGGTACAGAGTGGGAGACAGGGCAGAGCAGTGGGGGCTGCAGCAGCCCAGAGATGCGTGTCCTGCCAAAAGGCATTTCGATGCAGAGTTGATTAAAAACAAGAAGGCTGGCCAAGCAGAGCAGGCTGGATTGGACTCTCCTCAACTAGTGATGTCTAGAATGGCTCCCAAGTTTCTACTTAGAGGAATTCAGTGGGTAATTTTGCCATTAATTTGTACAGGGGAATACACGGTAAGAATCAGGTTTGGGAGACTAAAGTAAGGAGTGTTAGCTTTGAGACAGATTGATGCTCAGGTTCAGAAGAGGGAAGCTGGAAATAGGGTCCTGGGGCTCAATGAAGAGGTTTCAGGAAAGAAGTAAGTGCCTTTTATGGCAGGATTAAGTTTCTGAACAAGGGAGCTGCAGGTGTTTTATATTTAGACGTCTAGTCAGATGGTAATTATACCTCTTTGTAATCAATCAAGGAAAACTTCTTAGGAAGGAAGGATTCAGAAACTCTATGAAAACTGAAAGGAAGAAAGCTTGGCAGGTTGAGAAGAGATCCTCTAGCCATGAGGGAGGAGAGGGAGGAGGGCGTACGGGCCAAGGAAAGATGGTGGAAGGACCGAGGGGTGGCCAGAGGGCACTCGTGGAAGGGAGGAAGGAAGGGAAGGGGGGGTAACTCGCCTCGTGTTCACCCGGTTTCCCATTGCCTCTGAGCTGCCTGGAAATGAGCATTATCTTTAATGTTTTTCAGGGTGACGACTCAGATGAGGAAGATCTCTGCATCAGCAACAAATGGACTTTCCAAAGAACCAGCCGCCGGTGGTCTCGCGTGGACGACCTGCACACACTGTTCCCCGGAGGAGACAGACATGGGTCATCGGGAGACATTAGGATGAGAAACACCACGAGCAGTGAAAGCGTCCTCACCGACCTGAGCGAGCCCGAGGTTTGCTCCATTCACAGTGAAAGCAGCGGAGGGAGTGACGGCCGCAGCCGGCCAGGCAGTGGCCACAGCACCGGCCGGGCGCCCTTTGACTGCCCCGGCCAGCCCTGCCCCGACAGCCCGGTCATGCTGGACGCCACATTCGTCAGCGGCGGCCTCCCGCAGTCCCCCAGAGACGCTCTTAGCTACCCAAAGAATGAGAAACACACCAGGGCCAGAGCCAAGTCATTTTTGAAGCGCATGGAGACTCTCAGAGGGAAGGGGGCACACGGAAGGCCCAAGGGGCCGGGGCGGACCGGGGGCTTGGTGATCAGCGGGCCTGTGCTGCAGCAGGAGCCGGAGGCCTTCAAGGCCATGCAGTGCGTCCCCATAACAAACGGAGATCTCCGGAGCTCGCCCCCCACTGCCTGCCCCAAAGGGCTCCTGAGCACCAGCAAATGGAGCGGGGCGAGCAGCCAGTCGGAAAAGAGTAGCAGTGGCGTGAGCATGCCTGGCCTGAAGGAACGAAAATGCCAGGAGGCCAACAAGCGCGGGGGCATGTACTTGGAAGACCTGGACGTGCTGGCCGGGACAGCACTGCGGGATGCCGGTGACCAAAACCACACACACGAGTTCCATTCCCAGGAGAACTTGGTGGTGCACATCCCCAAGGATCACAAACCGGGAACGTTCCCCAAGGCACTCTCTATCGAAAGCCTCTCACCAACAGACAGTAGCAATGGGGTTAACTGGAGGACCGGCAGCATCTCCCTGGGCAGACAGCAGGGCTCCGGGGCCAGGGAGCCCAGGCTCATGGCGTCCTGCCACAGAGCAAGCAGAGTCAGTATCTACGACAACGTCCCGGGCTCCCATTTGTACGCCAGCACAGGAGACCTTTTGGACTTGGAGAAAGATGACCTCTTCCCCCATTTAGATGACATTTTGCACCATGTCAATGGGCTCCAAGAGGTAGTGGATGACTGGTCAAAAAATGTCTTGCCTGAACTGCAAACACATGATGCACTGGTTGGAGAACCCGGCTTATGCCCCTTCCCATCTCCTAATCAGATCACCTTAGACTTTGAAGGCAACTCGGTCTCGGAAGGTCGGACAACACCCAGTGATGTGGAAAGAGATGGAACATCTCTTAATGAGTCGGAGGCCACTGGGGTCCGAGAGAGGAGGGACTCTGGTGTAGGGGCCTCTCTGACTAGGCCAAACAGGTTGGTGGCATGATTTTCTGAAATGATTTTTAATCCATTTCCATGATAATTAGGGTCTATTTATCTAACAAACATTTATAGCGCACTTCCTAAGTGCCTGACACTGTCTGAAGTGATACATGGGGTTAGGAATTATTTGAACGGAAGTGTATCTTTTCTGCAGCTGTTATGGTGATTGAATCCATGTTAACTCACATTCATTTCTCTGAGTCTTTGTCCTTTAATTCAATCTTACGTTCACTCAAAAAAATGTTGAGTGTATGTGCAAAGCACTGTGCTAGGCACCGTCAGGGATCACTGGAAATGGACGCTCCGTGCCTGTTCACAGGTGCTTCCCATGACCTTGTTGCCATATCAATTAAAATGTCCCTCTCTCAATTTTTTTAACTTTTTTTTTTTAATCCTATGAGAAATTTCTGAGACCCAAGGTGTATACTTCACAAGTTTATTTTGGCTTTAAACTGCCAATTACAAAGTACATAAAGCCATTCTACAAAGACCACTTCAGAAGCACCCGAGAGAAATGGCCCCGAAAGAGATGAACTAGTGGAAACAGTAATACTGTACACGCTGCCGTGCTCTTGTTGAGGCAGAGATGTCCCTTGGGGTTCACTGACGTGTCATCTCTTCAGGAGCTCTCCTTCCTCTGTGCCTGCCACCCTCAGGTTCCATGTCAACAGAAGGAGAATTCGAATGCAGACAGGAAGGCAGTACGAAAATGGTCTACGGGTCCAGAACATTCCAGATCTCACTCTCCATCTCGAGCTCTCTCTCTCTCTCTGTCTCTCTCTCTTTCTGTCTGTCTGTCTGTCTGTCTCTCTCTCTCTCTCGACACACACACATACACTGTCTCCGCTGCTTTCAACAGTTTGGGAGCAAACTTAGCAATAAAACAAATAAAATGTATTAGGTCCCTTATTAAAACCTTCCCCAGATGTATCAGACTTGAAAGCAGTAGTTTCTTAGGTTTACTCTCTGCATTGGTGTCTTCTGTTGCACTTGCTTTGTGATTTCTCTTGGCTCAGAAGCTCTGTTGATTAGCTCCTTAGAAATCAGTGACGTCGTGTGTTTTCCAATAACACGGCCACGTTGTGACTGGCTTCTCTGACGGTCTTTCTGGTAAAGGCGACTCCGATGGAACAGTTTCCAGCTCTCGCACCAGCCTCAGGCGTCCACCGCGCCGCACATCAGCAACCAGACGGCCGGCCAGCTGAACCTGCTCCAGCGCTTCTCACTGCTTCGCCTCACGGCCATCATGGAGAAGTACTCCATGTCCAATAAACACGGCTGGACGTGGTGCGTAGCATGTCCACTTAGGAGGGGATCGTTTGTTCTAGTGCTAAGTATGCGGTTGCAAAAGCCTCAGTAGTGAGGTTCTGACTTCTGAAGAAGCCACTCATGGCCTTCGCTGCCGATGTCCTGAAAATCAGGCGGCAGCCCCTGCCGCCCCCTGCCCCCGGTCTGCCTTCTGTGCTGCTGCCCCTGGGAGCCGATGCAGCCCACTGAGTTTTATCTGCAGCTCTCGGCTGGTTTCCAGGGAAAGCAGTCAGGTTCCAAGAAGGAAAAAAAAAGACAAGGAAAGGGTGATGAATGGTGAACAGAGGCATTAAAAATAAACTGGCCAGAAAATAATTCTGGCAGTTTGCCGAGAAATAGCTGTTGCTTGTACCTTCTGGCTCAACACGGGGCTCACCACTTAGAGCACTGATTCATTCCAAGAGCATTTAATTCTTCAGGTGCGTTCTGGCTTTGGCTTCAGTGGCAAATAAAAACAGGAATATGCAGTAAACCTTTGTCGTAAGGAATTGACAAAAGCATGTGTTGAAACCTAAATATGGAGCTGTTTTTAGACAAGCTGGTGGATTTGAAAAAATACAAAGTGGGTCATTAATTGTCCTATGTTATAAATTATGTATAGAGAAAAATCTCCCCCAACCCCAACCAAATTTCTTCTTACCGTTTTTAAATTTGTTTTGTTTCGTCTCATTGGGGACAAGTGTTTATCCCTTGAGAGGTGTGGCCGTCACAATTAAATTGCAAAGTTGTCCCCTTGACTTGAAAACAGAGCCATAAATCCGTTCCGCTAAATCGTGCTGTTTAATAGTCGAGATCTAACATAGGCAAGGGGCACACATAGCACTTCCTGTCATGTGATTAATTAAGAGAGATGTTGAATTTGCCCTGTGCCTGTTGGTTGTTCCAACAAAAGCTTGGCTTTGCTCTTGCTTGCTTTCACAGCCTCTCCCCACAGGCTGCCCCAGGAGGTTTGCATGACCTGGTTTCTGTGAATTCTAGGTCAGTTCCAAAGTTCATGAAGAGGATGAAAGTTCCTGATTACAAAGACAAGACTGTCTTTGGTGTTCCTCTCATAGTTCACGTCCAGAGAACGGGACAGCCCCTGCCTCAGAGTATTCAGCAAGCACTCAGATACCTGCGTAGCAACTGCCTCGATCAGGTATGGTTGTAAATCCCAAACACGGGCCTGCATTCATGGGGAACGCTGGACAAAGTCACATCTCCTCAGTGTTGCCTAAGACGTGCCTCACTAAAAATAAAAGGTGTTGTGATCTTTATATGTCAGTATTTAATTTGCCCAGGCTACATCTCGGTCAAGCTGCTTGAGGGTGTTCCCTCACTGGCAACTTGAATGACGTTCTGAGTGAAAATTCATGTTAATAGTTTGTGTGTTAATAGTCTGTACCTGTGCTGTCAAATTTGCATTCCCTAGAAAACTGGGAGTTATACTCTACACTGCATTTCCTTTTTAAATATTGCCCCACTGCCATCATTGATTTCATAGCATTCTTTCATCCCTGTTTTATTATTTTTTGAGAAAAGAATTAGGTTTTTATATCTTTTTTTAAAAGATTTTATTTATTTATCTGAGAGAGAGAGAGAACAAGTGGGAGGGGCAGAGGCCCGAGAGAGAATTTCACGCAGACTCTGCATTGAGTGGGGAGCCCAATCTGGGGCTTGATCTCATGACCCTGAGGTCGTGATCTGAGCCAAAACCCAGAGTCCAACGCTTAACTGACTATGCCACCCAGGAGCCTATTAATTCTTTTCTTTCTTTCTTTTTTTTTTTTTTTTTTGAAGCAGCACCATGACCAGGAAAACTTAAACCAAAGATAAATTTCTTTACATCTTTTTAAAATGTGCAAGTAAACTATGCAAACAATATCCGCTAAATCAACTCTCCCTTCATCTTGTACATTAAAATCTCAAGCCAAACAAAATAGTCAGAGATCATTTTCTGTCTCCACGACTGTTTGGGGACCACCGTAATGGTGGCCAGTGACCAGACCCAGAGTGCCACCCATTCTGTAATTTACTAGGTAGGCCCAGCCTTCACTCCTCCAAATTAACACCCATTCATTTCTTAGACATTCTGCCCCCAAAAAGCCATATTCCCACTTGATAAATTGCAACCTTGAGTAGTGGGGGTATTTTCAGGCAAATATTCTACAGTGACTTTTGTGTATCATATTCTCTAATGCCATATGAATAATCCAGGCCCACCTAAAATTACTTGCACTTTTTATTGATTCACCCTTGGCCTTGGGCTCAGTGAATAGGAATGAGCTGAGCTACATGAACTCACAGACCCTGGCTACTGATGCTTGTATCTACCCCAATACTGAGATCGCACTTAGAATCAGGATGGTCTCTTGACGAATCAGACACCACTTTTCAATGGAGAATAGGAGTAACTTCATTTGATGCCATCTTTGATTGAACTGAATGTGTGATCCCTTTTTGCCTTCCCACTCCTAATCTAGAGAATATACAGGTATACATTTTCCCCCATTTCTTCAGATGCCATAGTGGAGGGCAGGAGTGGTTGCTGTTACTGTTGTGGTGGTGGGGACTTTTTCGTTTTGAGAAATGGCCTTTGTAGCTTGCCTGTTATTTCTCAGAAAGAAAGGCAACAGACCACTTTTCTAAAACTATAGACTTTAGCAGATGCCTCAACATTGACCTGTGAATAACATCCACACAGAGCAAACCAATGAATCCAGTTACTTAAGCATTATTTTTTTGTTGTTTTAGAGCTTTTACCAAAATTGCACATTAATCAAAGGTAGATGATCTATGGATATCTTATTGAGAAAACTTGTTGGAGAGGCGAACTTAGGTGAATATATGGAAATGCCCACTCTGATCTCTTTTACAACCCTAATAGCATTGCAATCACGCCCTTACGCATAGGACTTTGTGGCCTCAGTTGTACTTTTGTTGTTTTGTTAGCACAGACCCAAGATTGTATTTTGTGGAGGGTAACCTTTTATTCAGACACGTGGTTTTCCAAGCTTCTCAATTTTCCTAAGGGTATATAAGACTCATCCCTCCTCTTGGCTAACTCTCTTAGTCTTTGGCTCTGCCTTTTACCAAGAACAAAAAATATTTTGTTCTAAACATTATAATGTGTGGCCAGCGAATGCTTATCAACAAAAGCTCTATTAAGAGAAAACAGTATTTGTTCAGAAATACCTAAAGGAAATGCAGTCCATCTGTGCCATTAGCTCAGTAGTGATAACGTTTCTCGAGGGCCCAGCATGTTTTAGGCATTGTCCTGACTGTTTTACATTCACTGTGTCATTTAAGACCATATCCACCTTGGGTGGTGGTATTCCCCCAGGTGGCAACGGTAGAGCCAACACTTGCTTGAAAAGCTAACTCCAGAGTCCAGGTTTTTAAAAACTACACTGTACTGCCACCTGTTAGAATTGCTTGTCCCAGTGGACTCGGGCTGATACCTTCCCTGGCATTGAGGGACACGTGGAGAAATGGCCCTAAAAACTCACTGATGAACCTACTGTCAGGATTTTGTCAATAATGTTGACCCTTACGTGAGGTGGGTGTCCTTGCTGTGATCATGGAAGAGTTTTTCTCGAGCCCCAACACCTGAAAGCATGGTGTTTCTTTTAGACAACTAGTCTGTTTCTTATATTAAGAACAACTGGTATGTTTTCCTCTCTATATTAGCTGCTTAGAAAGACTAGAGCCAAATGTGTGTTCTTCCTGTGGTAAATATATGTAAATTTTTGGTATGAATTTTGCACATCATTCCTAGTTTCAGCTACTCATTTTATCTTGATTTCCCTTTTGCTCAAATGTTCTTATCTATGATCTTTAACTGTATCTTATACATTTTATAGGTCATTGAATTCTTTCTTGAACACAGTTGGGTGGAAATAAATGAATTGGAATCCCGCTATTCTACTCACCACATAGTGTTTAGTGTAGACTGGAAACCACTCAGAACCCCTGCAGATTCTGAATAATGGGTAGCACCGGTAAGACCACTGTTACTAGGTCCAGTCTCCTGTCCGAAGCAAAAGTCCTACGAATCGAGAGAAGGACAGTGGGCACCAAAATCTCCTCAGTCCTGGCTCGCTGGCTTATTCTCAGTCTCCACATCAAGCCTCTCACAGGTTTTTGCAATCTGGAAGAATGCCTTACTGAAAAAACATGTGCTGGCAAAGCCTGGTAGGCAAAAGACTTATTTTCGAGGACATAGATATGGATTCTAAATGTAACCAAAACGAATAAGGCAACCCTCTCTTGTATCGGTCAAAAGTAAGAATCTGTAAGATGTCCAGGGGACTTTCACCAGAGTCCGTTTCTCCCTTAGGAAGCACTCCATATCTGCGGGGCTTCCCACCTGGGAAGTCACAGAGTGTGGGAAGCACACAGAGAACCCCCTCTGGTCCCTGTGAAAAGGAAGGTGGTAATAAGAAGGGAGCAAGGGAAAACGGGACAAACACGAGGGAGAATTAAAACCAGGCTCGAAAGGAAGACTGTTCTAGAGCTTTAAGAGTGAACAGGAGCAAATAAAAGTGAATGAATCAGTAAAGAAGGAGGGGACAAGAGCAAGAGGGAAGGAACATACATCACACTAGACTGTTCTTTCTTTGCCAGTAGCACCTCCTTGGAACTAAAAAGTTTCAGGTCTGCACAGGATCTTGAGATCTCAGCCCCCGGGGTTGTAGAAGACCAGAACATCCCAGAACACCTTTCCTCCAAACTACGCTGACTGGCCTCTGTGTTGCCTCCCTTTGCACGGTGTCCTTGACCCACCATCTCAGACTCTCCCATGGGGCTTTGCCCTGATCTCAGGGGAGGAGGCTTCCTGCAATGAGCTGGCCCCCTTTTCCTCCTGCTAAGCGTTCACCTCCAACATAAACATTCATCACAGTTGAATGCAGCCCCACAGGGCCCTGAAACATGGCCAGCGTTTGGCCTCCTACACTCCCCAGTTGCAGAACAGTTTATATATGATGAAACACGGTGTAGCCATTCTCCCCCTCACAGCTGGCCCTAGCTGAAATAAGGAAGTTTAGCCCTCTGTTATGAACCATTTGTATTCAGACATAGCCGTGTGTGAGAGGAGCCTTGCTCTGTTGGCTCAGCTTTTATTTCTGCCCTAAATCAGCGGCGTACGGAGGCACAGGTGGTGCTTGTCCTGACGAAGGTGGAGTCACGCAGGGAGAGGCCAAGCCTGCAGGGCTCAGAATCAGAACCCGCCGCACGCGGTACTTCAGACCCTTTCTCTTTCTGAATAAAACCAACCTTTCTTCATTAGCCGAGCCCATTCCTGAAGAAGAGCAAAGGGAAGTCCCGACAAACATCGTCAAGGACTGAAAGGATTAGCATAAAAGGGATGCCAAGTAGGAGGTTTAATGTTATTTAGATGAAATTTGAATTCTAACGCAGCTCTCGTGTGCCCGATCTCTCTGTCTGACAGAACAGTAAGTTTTAGAAGCCCGATTATGCTGGGAAGACGCTTCCTGCTCAGTACAAGTGTCCGCTACCCGCTGGCTCTTCCTCACAGTCCTCTTGCCTCCCTCATATGAGCTAAGTGATGCTCTGGGACCTTTTCAGATCATACTCCGAGCCCTTGCTTTTTCAGAGCTGGGCTTTTGGGTGGAAGACAAAAGAGAGGAAAGGAAAAACGAGATCAAGGGAACACTCACCCCTCACCTTTTGACCTGTAAAATGAGCGATCACGTGCAAGATGCTTATAAAATGAACGCTGCGTTGCTGACCACCAGGCTCCCCTTTTCAGAGAGGGTGTCTGCGCCGGGCTTTAGAGGTACGTGAGCACAGGACCTGCTAGGGAGTTTGCAGTTTGCAAGGCCTCGTGCAAAATGAAAATGTGAGATTCTCTGTTCATACATTATGAAGAATTTCAAAACGGTGACAGCAGAGAATTAAACCAAGCGTGGAGCCCTGTGTGACTACCAGCAGGGGCAGACACAGAGGCATAGGAAAGACATGTCACACCCCTTGGGGCTTCCTCGTAATGAAGCTGAGGGATCTGGGGCAGCCTCCCACCCATGGTGATGACAAGGCTGCCCTCAGAAGCAACAGTTTTAAAATGGTTTCTTCAGGGCGCCTGGGTGGCTCACTTGGTTAAGCGACTGCCTTTGGCTCAGGTCATGGTCCTGGAGTCCCGGGATCGAGTCCCACAGTGGGCTCCCCGCTCAGCGGGGAGTCTGCTTCTCCCTCTGACCCTCTTCCCTCTCGTGCTCTCTCTCTCTCAAATAAATAAATAAATTCTTTAAAAAAAATAAAAACAAAAAAATAAAATGGTTTCTTCAGCTCTCTTTCACTTGGAAAAACATTTTTGCCAGAAGTGCCAATTTCATCACCGCTTTGAAAACTCTTTCTAAAGAAGAAATGATTATTGGCAATCACTCAGGCCACCCCCCCGTGATTGTTCAGTGAAGGTAGGTCGACTTCTCCCTGTTCTCGGGATCTCTGCACCATTGGAAGAATCTTCTGCTTACTGTGTCTGGGGAGTTTTCCACTGCAAGGAACAGAAGGTTGTCCCAAGATGGCTTCAACAACAGGAAATTCATGAGCTCATGTGACAAGAAGTCAGGAAGTAGGGTCCTTCCGGCGTGCTTTTTTTCATCAGCTCAGGGCCACTTTTGAAGACTGGGGTTTCTCTCCTTCTTTCCCTTCTACCTTCCTTAGCTACTATGTCTGGAATCTGGTCTGAGTTCAGACCACCTTTTCTTTATTAGGTTCAGGAAAGAAATTTCCTTCTGTGCTTCCAACAAAAATCCACAGATCCCACAGATATTTCCCACGTCCCTGGAAGATAAGGGTGGGACGGGAAGGTTACTGTCAGAATCTGAGGCAGAACAAATAAATACCTGACAGCCCTCTGGACATCCTGTGAGATCTAAGTCAGAACAAGCAGCTCAGAGCCCGCAGCTGGAGAGCTCCCGACATGTCGAAAATAATTAAAATAACAATATTTGCTGAAACTAGAAAGAAACTTGGAAAACAGACAATACAAAGAAAACACTGCTGGGATGTGTTTGCACACGCACACCAGTGTGCACCCAAAATGAAGCCAGCAAGACAGAGTGGATGCTCTGCAGTTTACACACAAACACTTGTCTGCTTTATTCTCTTGACAGATTCCAATCAGTATTTCTCTGCTACTGAGAAAATAACAGGAATTCTCAAAGGGAATAACACCGACTCACAGGAGGATAAATGTTTGTGAGTCACCCTTAGGAATTCACCTTCCGGGCCCTGGGATTCTGAGAACTCCCGTGTAGCACAGCCCTGTGGCACTGTCCTGGGCCTCCTTCCAGAACTAGAGGAGTCAAGAAAATGTAAACACATTGAGGATGGATCTCACTTTAGTAATCATTCATTTGACGTCTTGAATTTTTCCTTTGACAGTACATGCTTTCTTCTCGTGCACTTTGGTGACGTTTGGAATAGTTGCCAGAGGATGACACGTGTTCCTTAGACTCTTGAAGAGACATCTAAGTACAGCAAAGTTATACATTTTCTAGATATTCCAAACTTTCAGGATAAAAAAGAGAGCAATTAACGTTTTAAGTGACAATATGCCTGAATATCCCCATCTGTGGAATTAGAGTGATAGATAAGCCTTGGAATGCAAAAAAAGTATTACCAAGAATTCTGGTTTTTATTGCCACAAAGAGTACCAGTGGATCATTTCCCCTGCGACCTATTCAGCTGACATATACAAATCCCTGAGTATTCTCTAATTGCTTGGAGTTCTTCCCTTGCTGTCACTGTACTTAAAAGGAATTAGTACTGCTCTCCATTTATAGCAATAACCAAGAGAGCTCTCCTCAGACACCTGAACTTGGGTCAAGGCCGGCCTGGCACGCGGAGCCGCCTCGGACACGGCCCGGCACCTCTCCCCAAGCGTAGGGAGGAGGCGGCATGGCTCACTGGTGTGCCGCCGCTTACCTGGCTGACCACTCGGAAAGGTCCTACCTTGCTCTTTGGAAATGGGCCAACCTGTGAGCCCTTGAGGAATGAGAAAAGGAGAGATTGAGGTTGGTTGAATGAAGGACCAAGGTGGAGCAACTCAATGCCCTACAGGCATTTAAGAATAGCAGATATGCAAATTCACTGTAAGCCCGTGGGGGTGGGGGCAGGTGTCAGAGACACTCAGCCCTTTCTTGGGTAGAGGCAAGTCTAGAGTGCAGAGCCTCTAGAGGGGCCTGGAGTGTAAGCTGCCGACCGACCCTTGCAGGAATCTGTTCTCCTAGGGCTCCTCTCCACCTCACTCATTCCTACTAGGAGCATTATCTCCTGGATGCCTTATTGCTCCATTTATTTGTCAAGCAGAAGAGGAGTCTAAGCCCTAGGGATGAAAAAGGCATAAGACAATGTCATGAAAGTCTGAAAAAAATGCCACCCAGGAATCCTCACTAGAGCCACGGCTTATGCACATAGTATCTAATCAGGCAGAGTAATAAGTGCCAAGCATCATATGAGAAACACACATAGGGAGTATTATAAGGATTCCAAAGAAGGACAAGAAATAGGACTTTTAAATCAAAATACATGCTTATAGTATTATTATGTTTCAGGAGCATATTCCCTACACCCCTCCCCCAAAGGTGCACTGGATATGGTTGCTTATCTGGGATCCACCAAACCTCCCATTGACCAAAATTTCTCAAAACCCCCACTAGAGTGTAGACACTAGAGGGCAGGGAATTTTGTCTGGTCTGCTAATGATGCCTAGCAAGTGTAAGTATGCCTGAGATAGAGTGGTATTGAATCACTGCTTGTTGGATAAATGAATGCCATGATAGCATCTAGTCAAGCAGACTGCAGGTTACAAAGCACAGCCATACCTATTTTCTCACTTAGTCTCCACAATAGCCCTGTGAGGTGGGCTGTTAGTCTTATCTTCATTTTATAGGAGAGGGAGTCAGCGTTCAACTACTGCCCAAAGTAACTCACCTACTAATTTACATTTTACTAGTTTGGAGGCAGTTGCTGCTCATCCAGCCCTGACTCCATGCCTTCTTATCACTCCCAAAGTGCCTGCCTTAGGAAGAGGATGGCTGGGGGGAAGGTGGCCTCACTAACATGTCCTTGTGACTTGTTTCAGGTGGGTCTTTTTCGAAAATCAGGCGTGAAATCTCGAATCCATGCGTTACGTCAGATGAACGAGAACTTCCCCGAGAATGTCAGCTATGAGGACCAGTCTGCGTATGACGTGGCGGATATGGTCAAACAGTTCTTCCGGGACCTCCCAGAGCCTCTTTTCACCAACAAGCTCAGCGAGACCTTCCTCCACATCTATCAGTGTAAGTGGAAGGAATGCAGAGCAGTGTTCTCATGTGCGCTCATCCACTTAAAAAGCATTCTATAGACTGAGGTCTAGTTACACAAGTAGTACATGAATCCATAAAGAAATGTATAAAAGTTATCATGCTCTGCTTCTTTCCAGAAGTAAACTTTGTTCCCAGTTTGACATGGAAATCTCCAGGCCATTTGTTATGCGTTTGAAAATACCTTTTTGACATCAAAGTTTTCCTTCTCAGTAGGGTTTTGCGTAAGGTCTAAAACTAACGTTCAGTGTAATTTTAATAACTTTAAAATGAGAAGGGGACACTATAGAATTTATTTTGTATATAAATGTTTTTTAAAACTTAAATTTAAGTTTTTAAAGATTAAGCATTGCCTTGGGACATATGAAATTCAAAGCCAAGTGTGTTAAGATGACCAGAAATAAAGAGCAAATGTATTTTAATACAGTGTATTTTAATTGGCAAAAAGTAGGCAAACCAAATCAAGCTTATGTTTAATGCAACGAATTTATATCTTCACTTGGAATTTTTTAAGTGATATTAAATTGAAAATTCTCAGCAAAGCCTCTATAATTAAAATAATCATTGAATAAAACAATTGCTGATTAAAAAGCGTATCCTTCCAAAGGTAGCTACAAAGGGGGTGGTAGAAATGAACACGTGACTCTTTTCTAGATGCAATAATGTTATGATTATAAATTATTTCAGTGGTCCAAGTCCTGATTCTTTATAAAAATATAAAAATATTTGGCCTGTGGACTTTGAGTTTTCAGGAAAATATGACTGAAATGGGAATCAACAAATGGAATTGATCCAATTTGAAGAAGATCCTTGCTATAGAGAATTCTGTGCTGTGTTTAAGGAGACTATAATATTGCAAATCCAAAAAGGATTATAATAAATACCACTTGTACAAACAGGATAAAGTGATGACCCACTAAGTAAACATTATTTTGTCAAAGTGAATAGGCTAAGTTAAATTAATGATACATGTCACGTGAGCCCAAACACAGAGAGTTCAGGACTTTGTTGCCTTAAGAGGTCGAGCTGCATTCTCCAGTTAAGCCTCCTTCATGGTTTGGAACTATCATATATGATTCTTTACATTTAATCAGTTCTCAGGTTAGGGTCGACACTAGTCTAAGGTTAAAGTCAGATTGTTTCTAAGAAATAAATCTCTTTGGCCCTTTCTGAGACTCACCAACAAGAAACCAGATCAAAGCAGTGTTTATTTTAGCTGAGCAAACATTTACTGAGTTCCGCTTACGCGCAGGGCAGTGCTGTGTGCTGCAGGTGATATGGATGGGTAAGACTTACTCTGCTCTTAAGGATCTTACAACTGAGGGAGATGAGACATGTACATATATAACTGCCATACAGCAAGATTGGAGAAATGCCATAATAAGGTTACAAAGAAAATCCAAGGAGGTTGAGATGAGGACTAGGACTTGGTGGGGAACTGGCCGCTGAAGGTGGAGAAATGGAAGGAACACGTCTTGAGTGACTCACGTAGCATGAGCATGGTCCAGGAGGTTCCAGGGTATTCTTCTGGCTTGCGTGAATGGTAACCGTATGACACAGTACCAGTGACGCTGAAAAATTAGACCGGGGCCATCCCAAGGAAGGGCATTGAATGTCAAGGCAAAGAGTTTATATTTGATTCATTAAGCACTGAGGAACCCTTGGGTGTCGTTGAGGGGGTTACCAGTTACAGTACTCTCAGCTGTAAAGACAGAACCAGAAATCCAACAAATAGTTTAAACAATAAGGAAATTTTATAATCACACATGACAAGAAATCTGGACTTAAGAAATTCCAAAGTCGGTTAATTTCATAGCTCGGTGATGCCGGGGCTGAAGTCAGCCTCTCTCGGTTACACCCTCAAGGTCACAATATGATTGCCACAACTTACAATGATTGTGTCTTCCCAAAATCACACTCAAAGGCAAGAAGAGAGCAGAAAGGCTTCTCCTGGGGCATATGTCTCTTTTTATCAAGGAGATAAATTTATAGAAGCTCCTAGCATTTATCTTGGTCGCATAGGCCAGAAATGGTCTACATGTTCTCCCTTAAATCAGTCACCGGAAAGAGGACTGTGATTACCACTTTGGGTTTAGGCCAATATGGTTATGCCCAGAGTATGAGGGAAAGAAAGGGCCCATCTTCCCTGAGCATCTTCCAGATGGCAGCCGAACAGAAAGTGTATTTTTTTATAGAGGAGGAAGGAGGGAATAGGTATTCAGTAGGTAGCCAAGTCTGTGTCTGCCACAAGGGTAAATGTGCATCAGGACTGCTCTTGTGATCCGTGAATCTGGGAGTGCTGAACAAGAGATATTGGGTTGTGCAAGAACGGAGGGTTTGTGAGTGAGCTAACACATTAACTGAGGCGCTGGATTACCCGCAGTGACTTCCAGCAGTGAGACTGGAAATTCAGTGTTCCATGGATAGACTCTGGAGTCAAAGAGGACTGTTCTTCCTCCCCTTCTCCAGAGCAGTTCTAGTTTTAGCTGTGTTACTTCTTGGACTTTCTTCAAATGATTAGAGTTTGGATGGGTAATGAAAATAGTTGAAACCCACTGGTCTCCTGGAGGGAGAAGGATGGAGGGATCAGATACTTTAAGACAGTAGTCTTAAAAGTTTGGTGACTGGGAGAATACTGAAAAAAAGAGGGGAAGGAGAGCTGGTGTGAGGGCAGGGAGAGGAGAGGTGTTCAGAATCAACTGGGTGTTGTGTTTGAGGTGCTGATAGCCATCCGCATGGTCGCTATTATCAACGCTTAGATAATGCAGATCTAGAATAGTCTCCTGAGAGCTGAGAAACAGGCAGGAACCATAGGAATGTCAAGTGTGACAAAGGTCCAAGAGGATAAGATCCAAAATGAATGCTGAATTTAGGGATTAATGGTTGACCTTCACAATCATTTTTAGTAGAAAATATTAGAGGATACTTTCTGATGGATAAAGGAATACGTGAGTGAAGGGAAAGTTGAGACAGCATGTAGCCATGAGAAGATGACTCTTAAAAATGTTGTTGTGAAGAGAAGGTTAGCCATCTAAAGTTAAACAACGTACACACTAGACATCTTAGCTAAAGCAGCATATTAAAAGCAGTTCAGTGGCTCAACTGAATTTCTACACTTCAGTGACAAGCTTGAAATCGTTAGTGGTATCTCCTGTTTCAGCACAAGCAAGAAAAAAGAACAAGGTTCTGCTATAATTTGAACAAAATGGCTCTTTTCTACTCAAATCAAGTCTATCTTGTGCCACACACTGGACGTGGTGGGGGTAGAGATGGGTTCTAGAATGTTGAATGTAGTCAGGCTTTTCCAGAAATGTGGATTTGCTGGCTGAACGGGGCCAGGAGTGTGCCCAGCGCTGGGATGTATGATGGTGGGGAGGCGCAGGACCCGGGGAGAGGGTCACACACAGCCCCTCTGGGGCAGCAGGCTCCAGATGTCTTTATCATGTACCCTACAAATAGTAAATATCTGAGCATGTTTACTTATTTCTTTCTCATAATAGAAATATACTGTGATCTACTGTGATCTACTGTGCATGTTATAAAATATACCCAATCAGTATTTTTAAAGCGTGAGAGAAAACATAAACACCATTGGAAGTCCTGATACTTTCTTCTCACAAGTCAAGGATTGTCACAGGCACATTCCCCCACCCCTTCAGAGGACAGACAGCCTACTGCAGAGACCTGCTCTAGAACATGGTATTTTAAGAAAGACAGTGTAACCAAAGTGAGCTCCTGATGGTATCTTTTGGAGTGAGAAGAATAAGGGCGGTGAGTCAGATCTAAAAGATCAGTAATAAACCCAGCCAGGGGACATCAAAATGTAGTGCCCAGCACCCATCTGCCATGATTTTCTCTATCAGTTCACAGCATATATTCGGGGCCAGTGCCCTTCTAAGTCGGCATGACCAGCACCCACCACCACCACCCCACAAGGACCACCCTGAAGGGGAATGGCCTGACAGGGCCAGACTCGCTCCATAACCTTAGCGAGCCTGGTTCCTCTTCCCCAAGTACAACCTCAATTTCCATTCTCCCCAAGATTATGAAATGCATGCCATTGGGTCACCACATGAGGCCAATAACGCACCTCCTCTGCACCAAGCCCTGGGTGACTAGCAGGAAAAAGAAAGATGCGTCTGGCTGATGCTTAAGGAGCTGACCCACTAGGAGTCATTCCAGAGGGCCAACCAGCTGGATCCCACTGTGGTTAATTGTGCCAAACTGGCATCAAGGCCTGGCGGCTCCACTAGGGGTGGGGAAAGGCGAGGCTGCCGTCCCCTAACACAGTGGTGTCCAAACACGCCCCACAGAGCCCTGGGCATCCCAAAAGGTGCTTCCCAAGCTGTCTGGTGGGAGGGTGGGCGTGAGGGAAGCCAGGCTGACAGTGCCCCAGCCTATCGCCAACTTCAGGCAGAGCAGAAAACCAGTCTGGACACAGCTGAGCAGGTGGATGGCTCAGAGACCGTGAAAGGCCAGGATGGTGGCGTTCCTTGCCAAACAGCATCTCATTGTAAAGGCACAGGGGGGTTCGGAGGTGGACGGCTGGGGTTCCAGTCCCAGCTGTGCCTCTCACCAGCTGTGGGTCCTGAGCAGTGACTGACTTCTTTGTGCCATGAGTGGCCATCGCCATGGTTGTGGATGATGGTCGTGTCTCTGAGTGTGTCTTCACACAGGGAAGGTGGACCTTACTCACTGTGTCCCAGCTAGCTCTTTCTGCGGCTGTCCCTCTCATGACCTGGCACCCACTTTTCCGTAGATGTCCCCAAGGAGCAGCGGCTGCAGGCAGTGCAGGCTGCCATCCTACTTCTGGCCGATGAGAGCAGGGAGGTCTTGCAGACGCTGCTGTGCTTTCTCAATGACGTGGTCAACTTGGTGGAGGAGAACCAGATGACACCCATGAATCTTGCCGTGTGTCTGGCCCCCTCCCTCTTCCATCTTAATTTACTGAAGAAGGAAAGCTCCCCCAGGTGCGTTTTTCTCATCAACAACCATAATCCTAAACCGGGTATTTCCCATAGTTGATTAAAAAAAAAAAAAATTCTTGTGTTGTATTTCAACTTAAGGATTTGTCAGCATTTAGTTTATAATCAGAAAGTGTTTCGAGGTGACCATAATTCATGGGCTAGATATGAATCCAACTAGTCTTGGAGGATGCCCACTACGATCCAAAAACCTGAGGAGTTGTGTTGTGGTCTGTGGGTAGTGTGTGGGTGGGAAGGAGGAAGAAGTACAAAAATCCCTGTTTACAATCTTTAATGAGAAAAGGGGGGACTTCACAGCACCTGCAGTGACGTGGTTTCAAACTCGGGGGAAGAAATAGACGAATTTCTCCCCCAGCAGTCATTGCTGCCCTTGTATTTTTACAAGGCTTTTCATTATGAACTGTCAGACTCTTAGCCTGACTCAGAGTATCTAGGCCATGTGGTCACTGTTTTTATTTGGAAATGAGAAAGTCTGGGATCTGGATCAGCATCCGGCCGTGAAGCGACAACGAAAGGGTTGGGCTCTGTGTTGCGCAAAGCTCTCGAGTGAAGGATCTGCTTGTGACTCTGCCCTTCAATTACAGAGTCATACAGAAGAAATACGCCACCGGGAAGCCAGATCAAAAGGACCTCAGTGAGAACCTGGCCGCCGCGCAGGGGCTTGCCCACATGATCACAGAATGCGACAGACTGTTTGAGGTGAGCGAAAGGTTCCAGCAGCCTTCCTCTAGCTCCTGGAGCCAGATAAGATGCTTGGGATGGTGGCTGCATTTTCGGCTCATCGGGGTTTGCTCCTGATTTTACAATGACAATAGTACCCTCTGTAGCTCTGGTCTTTGCCTCCAAGAAATGTGAGGAGCTGGCTGAGTAGACACCTGGAGTTACTATGCTGATGGTTTTTAAGAAAACGGTCACATTACCTTCCGTTCAGGTTCAAGGCCAGCCAGCCAACTCTGCTGCATTTGTTAACTTGGACTTGATGAAGTTCAACATCTGTGTATGCGTGATATTCAGCAATCCCTGTTAACTAAGAGTCCATGACAGCTTATATGAGTTTAGCCACAGATAGGTTCAAGAAGGAACTCAACTAGACTTCTGGCATACTTTTTGTGGTAAAGTTGGCATTTGTAAATGGGGAAAGTGTGCTAAAAAGGTAAAGCTATTTCTAAGTCATATTTGATATTTCCCTTAAGTCTGTGTGCTTTAAGTTTCCTGAGGCCATATTTTGCCAAACTGAATAAAAACACATTAAAGATAAAATAAAAGGAAAACGGAAAGACTGAAAGGGAAGTCATTGCAATGTTTTGAATAATAACTGTAGTCTCAGAAACGTATTTGTTTTTCCTGACTTTAGGAAACTCCCCCACCCCAGCCTTGCCGCTGATCTTGGAAAAACATCCCTTGCCCCATGGCACTAGGCCCATTGCCCATACTGTGGTTTTTGACGAAATTACTTTGCTTTCTCTAACTATGAGTCTCAGCATCTCTTTAGCTCAGTATGTTGCTCTTTCGTGCATCTGTTCGTTCAGGTCCCGCATGAGTTGGTAGCCCAGTCCCACAACTCATACATGGAGGCTGAGATCCACGCTCCAACTCTGGAAGACCTGGGGACCCAGCTGGAGGAGAGCGGGGCAACTTTCCATACGTACCTGGGACATCTTGTCCAGGGCCTCCAAAAAGAAGCCAAGGAGAAGTTCAAAGCCTGGGTCACGTGCTCCAGCACAGACAACACAGATCTTGCTTTCAAAAAGGTAATCTCAAGAGGTTGGAAAAAATTACCCCCGAAGAGTCCGGTGTAAGAAGCAGGGATTTGTTTCCAGGGGCACCTGGGTGGCTCAGTCAGTTAAGCATCTGACTCTTGATTTCGGTTCAGGTCATGATCTCGGGGTCGTGAGATTGAGCCCCGAGTCGTGCTCTGCACTGGGTGTAGAGCCTGCTTAGGATTCTCTCTCTCCCTCTCCCTCTGCCACTCCCCTCCCCACCACCCTCTAAAAATATATAAATAAATAAAATAGATAAATAAAAATGGCCGCTCTGTCCATGGGGCTTGGTACGCACATGAATGGGTCAAAAATCCACTCTGGAGACTTGCCGAGCTGTCCCTGTTGCACATAATCCGAGTGTGTGTGAAGCTAGGCTGCTGGCTGCCAGTCTTATCCCTGTCCCTTATCTGTGTGACGTTGGGCAAGTCGCATGCCTCTCTGTGCCTGGCTTCTCATTTGCATAATGGACATCATCCCACCATGGTCAGAGGACGGCTATTTACAAATCAAATGCGTTAGAATCTTTCCCGGCACGCAGTACATACTGTATGGGTTGGTGGTTACTATTTGTCTTATCGTTATTTTTCTTCTAAGCCTAAAGATGAACATCCTAAAATTTTAACCCTGAGGTGTGCAGAATCACTCTTTCCAGTTACACCATCAGTGATGTTTTGTGAAGGTCCAGTGGAGAATGATAGGTATGGGTTGGGACTAGTTGACCTCTTCAGCCTTCGATGGTGTCTTTCCTAAGGTGGGAGACGGGCACCCGCTGAAGCTGTGGAAGGCCTCTGTGGAGGTAGAAGCGCCCCCCTCCGTGGTTTTGAACCGTGTGCTGAGAGAGCGCCACCTGTGGGATGAGGATTTTGTGCAGTGGAAGGTTGTGGAAACCCTGGACAAGCAAACAGAAATCTATCAGTATGTGTTGAACAGCATGGCCCCCCACCCTTCCCGAGACTTCGTGGTTCTCAGGTAAGCCTGACTCTAGGGTTTAAGGTATTTTTTTTTCCCCAAAAGCAGATGAAGAGCTGCATATTTAAGCATTTCACAGCATTCTACCACCGAAGTTCAGCCTCCACTGGGAACACTAGGCTGGCACGCATTTCCCTCCGTGAAACCTGACTTCGCTGTATTTATGCCCGACTTCCTGCTTCCTTCACCCAATTTATGGCTCTGCCGGCCTCCCTTCTGGCCCTTTTTGCTATGGAGCATACGGTTTATTAGGCCGTAAATATTGTTCATTTCCTCAGAACAAAGTCCCAAGAATAGCTGCTGTTTGTCCAGTTGCACTTTCTGCCAAATTATGCAAATCGAATCGGACTTGTCTCCTGATTTTGCCTTCCTCCCTGGGGAAAGCAAGTCTTGGGTTTTTGTAACTCCCACAACGGAAGCGTGTGTAACTTCAAAACCCATCTGTATAACTTCGGATTTTCACAACTCATTGCCACATAGGGAAAGCTTGGCACAACCCTGAAGGTCCAACTATGCAGAGAAGGTCAGATGTCCAGTCAGATTTCAGGGCTGGACAAGGCCTGCAAGTGTTTTGTCTACTGTTGAAGCATTGCTTCTGATCGGTTTGTGGGCTGAGTTCTGGCCCCCTGCCCTCTGGGTTTGGAAGGGGGAGCTCAACCCGTGACAGGAGGTGTGCAGCTGTGCCCATGAGCTGGTGAGTCAGCAGTGAATCCGAAAGAACATGGATTGCGGAAACTAAGAAAGCAAATAAAATATAATTAAATCAGTGTATTCTCTTTTATTGAGAACTGATGGCAAACACTGTCTCTTCCCATAATTAGCAGGGTCAAAGGAATCGCTAGGGAAATTTCCAAATGTCTATTTCAAATAGTTTCTTTATGAAAGTCGTTTTGATGGCACACTCCAGGTTACTTTTCACGTGGGCCTTCGGAATTGGTCCTTGGGACCCTGAATTTGAAGGGCCATTTTTCCCTAAATATATGTGTTTGTCTTAGCAACCTGGGGATCCTGGTGGAGAATGTGGTCAGTCTTAAGGGTGGCTTATTACCACGGTTAGGGGGACATTTGTCATCTCATGGAATTTAAACTGCACACCTTCGTTCTTGTAAGCAGCAAATCAAATAGTTCTTCTGGGATGGCAGCCATGTGGATGGAGCCATGCCGTAGCCTGCCTCTTCCCTCCCCCTAGAGGGGGCTGAGGGTCGGAGTCCATGCATGGAACCTCCCTCCTTCGATCCACCTGGCAGTCCCACCAGCCTATTGCTCAGTGCAGAGCATCATTCCAGCCCCGTGGGGAGGCTGTGGGGATATTGCAGTGAATACAACCGACCTGCGGTCTCTCGGGGTTTACATTTTATCAGGGAGGGAGGGTCAATAAATAATAATTAAGGGGATAATGTTACCCATCCTATGGGGAGGGGCAGGAGGAGGATAAGTAAGGTAGGAGGATGGCAAGGGGTTGAATTTTAAATATAGCGGTTAAGGCAGAGTCTCACAGCATTGATAGTTGACCCACAACTAGAAGGAGAAAGTGGGTGGGTCATGAGTCTCTAATACGGAAGAACGCAACACTCGAGAATATTAACCATGCGCCAGACATGGTCCCTGCAACAAGGGATGCCTGTGGTTATGATACCAGAAGGTAGAAAGTGACAAGTACGGTGGGGAAATCTCAGAGCCGAGACACACTTCCTATCTTCCGAGTGCCGCCCTATTAGACTAGCAATCCCTTCAGGATTGCCACTTGTACTTGCGTTATCTCCTTCTCTAAATCCCCAGGAGCCTCCGGTGATGGTTACGGCAGCTTTTTCCATTTTGTCCCCACGAATCTGTACAACTCCCCATCTTTATTGCTAATCGTATCATCCGGCATGAGGAGAATGGTCGCACCCGTGGAGAAGCTGCTAGGCATTTGTGTAGGGCTTGCTTCTTCCCAGGTTCTTGTGGGGCACGTATAATAGTTTCTCTTTCTGGTGTGGTAGGATGGGACGGAAGAAGTTATAGATGACATGGCCAAGCCGGGGGTAGGGTTTGTGAGGTAAATAACTGGGATTATGATAATGAAGCCTATGTCCTGTGATAGAAATGTTCGTTATGCAGATGCCCTCATGGTTCCCGACTTCCATCTACAACATTTTCCCAAGGGGTAGCCCCATCTCGGCTTGAATAGCTCCTGTAACAGGGAGCTTACTACTCCTCATACCACCTGGTTCGTTTTTGGAGAGTGCACTTTGTGAGTCAGGTCTTCCCTCTCCTGAGCTGACACATGCCGTCCCATGTCTGCCTGCTGGGGTCAGATCAGCTGTGCTTTTGTCATTCCACTCGGGAGCCACTCAGGTATTTGAAAACAGTTAGCAGGCCACATGGGTTTAGTTACTTCAGGCTAAGCACCCCCAGCTCACTTTTTCCTTTAGGACTGAGTTGAGCATCGCCTTCTCCTGTAGGCCCCCCTTCCCTTCCACAGGGTTGCAGAGCACTGTGTGCACAGCCCCATCACTGCACTTTCCTTGGTCTTTTGTGGGTCTCTTTGTACGTCTGTTCCCTCTTCCTTGGCTGTATATCTTTGTGTCCTTAGTGGCTTCTCCTGTGCCCAGCAGATGTTTGCTGAACGAATGGAATGGGCAAGTCCTAATTCTAAAACTCTAAGACCAGCCCTTCAGGAGTGGCCAGGAACCTCTGCAGCCTCGATTTGGGGGTTCCAAAGGCAGACTGGCAAGCTGCAAGACCGTCGCTAGCCTCTGGGTCAGGGGGCTGAGGGGCTTGCTTTGAACGGCACTGTAAAAATTTTACACACCCTTATGGAAGCCATTAGTTTAATCTAAGTAAGTAGGATGGGGATTTGAGCAGGAAAATGTAGGTGTAACCCTCAGCGCAGGGTCCAGGTTTTTCTTTCTCTCTTAGTCCTAGTTTTGATGTGCCGGTTGTTTTGCTACAGGACCTGGAAGACTGATTTGCCCAAAGGCATGTGTACCCTGGTGTCCCTCTCTGTGGAGCACGAGGAAGCCCAGCTCATGGGCGGTGTGCGGGCCGTGGTGATGGATTCTCAGTACTTGATAGAACCGTGCGGCTCTGGCAAATCGAGACTGACCCACATCTGCAGGATAGACCTGAAGTAAGTGTGCACTACCCAGGATGGCAGGCTCGCACTGGGAGCCTCAGTTCAAGTGGCGGAGTCGCCAGGGCCCTGTTTGTCGTCCTGACTTCTTGTTTCACTGTACTTTGTTTTTTCACTGCCACTAGCATGCTTTCATCGATGATTACCGACGCCTCCCCCTCTCTGCTTTCCTTTTCGTCATCTTTCCTAAAACTCTGACATTCTCCTGCAGCCCTCTGCTCGTTTTTCTTTTCAGCACTGTTCCCGCTTACCTATGTGTGCTTCTCACGCAGAGCAAACACACCACGTGGTGGCTCCTCAGTCACTGCGAGGCCCCTTCTCTTGTGCTGCTGCCGTGCCTGCTCTCCCTGTGTGGTCCCTTCCTGTTGCCCTGCTTGCAGAAGTAGCTAACTGAAATCCAACCCCATCAGGGCAGTCATGATGCGGACCAAGCTCTTCGTCTGGGTACAGAGACACTGAGATTCCTCAGTGAGTTCCAGAATTCAGTCTGAATCTTAGCGCTGAAAAGACAGACTGAATACTTGGCCAGAAAAGCATTTTCCAGGCACCTGATGACAGAATGAGGTTCTCGGGTCCTTCAGGGGTCAGCCCCCAGTTGTAGGCAAGCGCGCTCATGAGCAGGGCACAGGACAGCCCTGTCTACCGTGATAAAGTGCTGAGATTTGGAAAAAGCCTTTCCCACTTCCTTTCTGATTTTTGTCCCCACAGAGGTCACTCCCCAGAGTGGTACAATAAAGGCTTCGGACATCTGTGTGCAGCGGAAGTTGCCAGGATTAGAAACTCTTTTCAGCCCCTCATTGCTGAGGGTCCAGAAACTAAAATCTGAGTTTTCCCCAGTGTTACATCAAACTCAGGGAAGAGGAAGTGAACGGAAACACTTGTGGGAGAGAGAGTGCTTGTGAGAAAGCAAGAGAGAGAGAGAGAGAGAGAGAGAGAGACTGAGTGACATGGTTAATGCTTTTAAAGATGGAAACACTGAGGAGTCAGAATGTTGAAGATGCAAGAATTTCTGAGAACTTTCCTAGCCCTCCTGGAGATGGCTACATCCCTACTAATATAATATTTTTAAAAATCAGAACATTTATCTATGTTACTTAAAATTAAATGGATTATTCCTTGTGCATTGCCTAATTTGCTATTTAAAGGCTTCTAAGAAGCGTATTCTTAACTGTAAATAAATGTATGTATAGCATATGTACATATGTGTGTATATCTCTATCTTTATTGTATATATGTACAATACCAATTTTATATATATTTGCGTCTTTTGAAAAGGAACGCGTCTGACTCAGTGAGTCCCTTCCTCACTCACGTGGTTCTTTCCAAGTTGCTCTGGGCCCATCCCCCCACTGTCCTGTAAACGGAGCAGAATCTGCTGCTAACACCGAGGTGTGAAAATGTGTAGTCTGTCAGTCTGCCCTGATGTTTAACCAAAGATTAGCGAACCAAAGGAAAACAACATTCAAAGGTTCTTATGTGTTGTCAGTTTGTGTTATTCAAAAACGGAGCGTGGAGTGTTGGATAAAGCCAGGAAAAGAATACTTACTCCTCTTAAAAGCACAGAAGTGAGGAAGAAGTTGTGACCAAAGGGAAGGCTGCGGGACCAGTTGCCCATGGACCCAGCCAGATGCAGCTTCAGGGACATGTCAGATGCCCACGGGCCACTGGAGTCAGCACAAGCTGACTGAAAGAAACTTTATTTCCCTGCTGGTTAGAGCCAACTAGCGTAGCCTTTGCATATTCACAGCCAAAGGGAGCCTCTGTGTTTTATCAGGTTTTCATAGATACATTTCATCATGTTCTTAAGTGTCATTCTATATGACCAGTGCCCTGTTTGGTCACAGTTAATTGGCATTTTCTTACCAATATATTGCACTGAATTGAACTCTGGAAGCCAGGCAAGGGGAGGCGATGTCATTCGAGTGTCCTGGACCATAGCAGTTTCAGGGAATTCTTATTTTGCTCTATACGATGCTCTTCATTCAAGTTTTGCAATTTGAAAGACAGAGTTTTAAACTAACAGTAAGACCAAAACTATGCTCTGCAATTAGTGTTAGAAAACATAAACAGGTTTCTTAATTTCATATTTCTTCATTAGCCAGTCAAGCTTCCCTAGGTGTTTGACCCAACCTTATTTATTATTGTATAGACTAAGTTGATTGACTCTCCTTAACCAATTGCTGATGGATTTAAGTTGTGGGGTTTTTTTTATTGTAATTCCACAACTGTAGAGAGGAAGATAAGTTATTATGTTCGGTTTCAGGGAGAGATTTTCTTTGGTAATCCATGAGAGATTGGTATCATAATTTAGCAACTGGTGTGGGAGGAAAAAAAAAATGTTTTTCCCTTTTCTGTATTGTGTGCATTTATGTTATTAGTAATGTTTCCTCCTATCAGCAATGTGCAATTCTTTTATTGAGAGAAATAAAAAATGCTATATATGAATTCTGCATGGTGCAAGGGAAATCATACTATTTGAATTATGGCCCAGGAATTTTTCATTTCCTTGCCTACACAAGAAGGTGCCAGCAAACCCATAATTTTCAATTTGGGCAGGGTTCTGTGAACAAAACAAATTCACGTCTGCCATGCATCTTAAATTTAACCATATAGGATGGATTACTTGCCTATGCAAAGACAAGATTAACGAAGTTTAGTCTCGTTTAATTCCTGTCCAGAGATGGAATCCTAGGTGTTTGGAAAATATGATAGACACACAAGAAGAATCGAATTGTATCACCGAGCTTAGCATACACACGAATCACCTGGAGATCTGGTTCAAATGTAGACTCTGATTCAGGCAGTCTGGAGTAAGAGTCTCCATTTCTAACAAGTCTCGGGGATGCTCGTGCTGCTGGCCCTAAGACCACACACTCTGGGAAGCAAGAGGATACTGAAAACAAATGTGATTGTATTTCTGACTCCTCCTCTCTTCAAATTATCTGACTGGCTTTTCTGTTTTTACGCACGTACTAATCACATCACTGCTGCATAACACAGTGCGTCTACAAAAAAAAAAAAAAAGGAAAAAGGAGGGAAACGATGCATCAAGCTTGTTTGTCAAATACCACAGTGTTTTATTCGTTGTTATCTTGCCAATGGAAATAAAATATGATATTGCATTTAAATATTATATTTATACCTCATGTATATTCTTACCTCAATTGTTGGTATCAATCATCAATTGTAAATAAATAATTGCCAAGGCAAATAAATTTATATACATTAAATATTTCCTATTTTCTATAAAATATATGTTGATTTTCATGCTTCATCCTGTAAGTGGAAAACCTGTATTCAGTATCTCTCCCAAATACAAGGATGTTGTTACCAACATTCACTAACAGTCTGGGTGCCTTAATTTGTGTGTAAGGCATTAAAGTGATGGGAAGGGCTTATTTTTTTACATTTCATTGTTCTTAAGTCTGGAAGTTGTAAAAACACATGGTATTTTTTATCAAAGATTCAGTAAATTCTAGCTACATTTCATTTTCACTGAGTAGACAACAAATTGAGGTGTGATGAGGAGACTTCTGGCTGCACCACTAGACCAAGAAGAGCAGCCACATCTCACTCTAAACCTCTTGCCTTCATTCTGTTTGTTCTCTGCTTTACTTCTAAAAGATAACAAAAGTAGCTCCAAATTAAGTAAGCAGGCTCTCCCTAGCATTCTCAGCTACAGGCTGCAAAAGCCACTAACCCAAAAGACCATATGCCCCCATAAAACTGTTCCAAACTTTGCTCTCTGCGTGTCTCCCTCATGCCTTCCCCCTTTACTTGAAAGTTTTGCCTCTCAGAGGCCAAGGAGGAATTTCAGCTGCCCCCTTTGTCCTTCCATGTGAAAGAAGAGAACATGGTGGTCATTCTAGCAGCCACTGGCCACGAATGTCCCGAGACCCCAGACCATATGAATTCAAATTCGATTGCAAGCATACTTGAAATTCTTAGGTCTGACATTGTTCTACTTCTGTCTTTTGGTATTTGGCTACAGAAAAACTGGTTATATGTCTTCTCAGGAAAATAACATAGAGGGTTAAAATAGACCCCAGCAAAGGGGAGTGTCACTCACAACACAAAAACAAAATTAGTGGGGGCTGACTGCACAAGGGATTAAGAAATAAACACTTGAAGGTACAGCATTGTAACACTGTAAAGCCACGGAGTTTGAACAACTGACAACATGCTGCGTTGGACATGCCTTGGGCAGACTACATCCTTTGTACATTGAATGTTGACTTCCATTCTAGCAATCCCACCCAACAGGCCACCCAGATGCCTCCCAACCCACATCCTTCTTGTGCACAGATGAGGCTCAAAATCCCAAGTAATGCTGTTCCTTTGAAGCAAAACTTCCTGCATCGTTTGTTCATGCAGAACGCGTTCACCGAACACTGAGTGAGGGTGGGACACTGGGCAGGCAGAGGTGTGGATACAAAGAAGACAGTGTGGTATAGAAATAGAAGCAGCAGTCCCTTCTTGTCACAGGTTAGCAGTTCTGAACCACTGCTCCCAGCAGAAAAATAGGGCTAGGTTCCTATGAGCCTCTACTCACAACATTTTTGTCAACCAATCAATATACAACTTTGTTCTATGTCCATTTCTGTTTAGACATGACTTACTTAATACAAGTTTCTTACAACTAATTATTTATCCACAGTATTTCTTTATAGTAAAACAACAGTCAAAAAGGCTTCATATTGGGGCGCCTGGGTGGCTCAGATGGTTAAGCATCTGCCTTCGGCTCAGGTCATTGTCCCAGGGTCCTGGGATCAAGCCCCGCTTCGGGCTCCCTGCTCAGCGGGAGGCCTGCTTCTCCCCCTCCCTCTGCTTCTCCCCCTGCTCATATTCTCTCTCTCTGTATCTCTGTATCTCGAATGAATAAATTTTAAAAAAAAGGCAATATTTTCTGGACCCTGAGTAATGTGACTATAAATCTCTTTGGCTTTCAGCCTCACTACAATGTTTTTTTTTTTAATACCTTTTTTTATGGGCCATCATTTCATGAATCCACAAGTTTAGTCACTTTCCATCTTTTCCACAGCTTCGTCATGCATCATTCGAGTTACTTTCCAGAGTAGCCTCACTTACAGATCAGTGCATTTCCCCTTCCTTTTTCTAGATGTACCATACTGTCAATTCATTAACATTGAACTTACAGCCAACAGCACTAAAACTCTTGGCTAAACAAAGCTTATCTAATGCACATATTTCCTCTCTAAGGCATATTCCAGCCTTCTTGCTTTCAAGAACACTAGACAACACTTAGCACTGTACCTGGGGGCCATTTTAAACAGCAAAATCACTGACAAAAAGCACAAAAATGGAAAAAAAGAATGTGGTACTAAATACACCTTGAAAAGGATACTTCTTTATGGTATGAGGGCTGAAACAGGAAGGCAGAGGTCACATTTGCTTGATCTTGGCTGGGAATGTGCATGAATATCAGTGACCATTTTTATGCCATTCTGCACATACCCAAGAATGACCAGGAAAGAACAATGAGTATTGACTTGAGGATTACAAATAAGTTTTAGAAAGTTGGCAAATTTGCAAATACAGAATCTGAAAGTAATGAGGATGAATATGTATATATATACACATACACACACACACACACACACACACAATATCCAGTAGTAAGTTACTGGGTAACAAGACATGGCGGTGACCCCCAGGGACTTGGGAAGAGTGACAGACCAGCACGGGGAAAACCTACAGTGTGAAGGGAAAAGATGTGCTTGGACATCAGGTGGAGGTTGGGTGTGGCTAAAGCAGAGTTTCAAAGGGTACAGAGGATGGGAGTGAGTGGGGGCAGGAGATAAAGCTGGATGGTCACAAGCCAGGAATTTTTAAGCTGCAGCAGGGATTTTGGACATTATCTATTGAGCCAAAAAGCAGAGAAGTGAATTGACATTTGTTTTGATGGCAAAGACTTAAAATGGGTTAAAAGAGAATTGGCATATCCTTATATGCAGGAGCAAGGGTACAAAGACACCCCCATCTTTGCCTTTTCCTCTCCCTTTGGTTTCTACATAGATAGAAATAAATAAAGTGATTGATACCACGGGCCTTCCTGAGCTGATACTACTCCATGATAACTTGCCTTTCCTTTTATTCTGGAACATGTTGCTTTCCCCTATTTCCTCTTACACGTGTAGTTATCCATGTAAATTTGGTATTCATCTGACAACCTCAGAGAAGACACCTTCAAACCAAAATGCCAAGACACAGGGAGCTCCAGATCATTCTAGGTGCTATATGATCTGAAGATGTCAAGAACTGGTATAATGAGCTTACGGTGTGTGGTGAGTCCTTTAACTGATATAGGGAGAAAGAAGAGGAAGAACAGGTTTCAGATGGGACCAGGGAAGGAAGGGAACCATGGCGGAAAGGGTGGTCGGTTGGGCTCTGATCACATAGTGCTTGCAATGGCCTGGAACCATCCAGGTGGGGGTCCCCAGGAGCCAGCTGGACACACAAGGTCTGAAACTCAAGCTAACGCTGTGTTCCTTAGGTCACTTCCGTTTCGTCATTCCTGCCTCTTCTGACCATACACTTAAAGGCCCAGTGACACCACTGTTTCACATCTCTGTGTCTTTGCATTGACCTTCTCTCCATCTTGTTGGTCATGTGATAGCCTATTTATTCCTCAAAGCCCTATTCAGTCATGGAATTTCCTGACCATCCCTCTCAAATCCACCTGTTTCTTTCCATATTTCTCTTACTGCATGAATCACATTGCAGTTCATTATTTAGCAATAAATCTAACTCTCCTGCTAGATGATAAACTCTTGAGGGCATGGACCATGTCTTGCCTCCCTTTGAAACTCCTGATCTTAGACTTTCTGCTACATCACTTCATAAATATTGTCAAAATGAAAAGGGCATATAAAACCTGGATGTTAGAATGACAGAAGCCATAGACATGGAAGTCATAACCTAGGGACATTGTGTAAAGTTTTCCGAAGCTATTGAAATAACTTACATTTTGTGCTTTGACTACTTCACCTCTTCAAGAGTACAAAGAATAGAGAATTCACTGGTTCCCCAAGACGTCAAATGTGGCTGTTTCTGAAATTAGCAAATGCTAACCACCTGCTTACAGCAAATAAAACAGTTTTGATTAGTTCATTCATTCAATAAACATGTACGGAGCACTCATTACGTGCCAGACTCTGTTCTATGCTTTAAGTAAATGAAACAGTGGATAAAATCAGTGAACAAAAAGACAAAAATCCCTGTCCTTGTGGAGCTTACGGTCTAGTGGGAAAAATAGCCAAGAAACAAGATAAATAATTGGCCAGGTAAGTTCTACAAAGAAAAATAAAAACAGAGGTAGGAGATAGATTAGGTAGTCAGGAAAAACCTTACTGAGTGAGGGCTGGGTGATGAACTGCTCCAACTGATACCGTGACCATTTTTCTCTCCAGTTCCTGTAGAGTTTCTAAAATTACAGTGATGGGAATGATCAAATAATTAATCAACTTGCAGAGAACTATTTCCTGTGAAGAAAAAGAAGTACACCACCACCAGACAAACAAATCCCCTGAGAACGACCCTTGCTGATACATGATGGCTGCATCTTCCAAGCCAGTCAGAAAGTGGGGCAAGCTGGGATGAACGGATGTTAGAAATCCACATGTCCCAGACTGTAACATTTTCTTTTTATGCCTACATGATCGAGTCCCCTGCTGTTATGGTTTCCAGATATTAACATATCTCAAAGGTCCCCAGGTACTTCAGGGAGTTCTGGAGACCAGGTCTCTGGTGTGCTCAGGTGCAGGCTCCCTTTCTTCAGTTTTGACATCCTCATCACAACCCAAACAGTAGCCACACCTGCTGACAATGACCTCCTCAGCTCACTGTTGGGCTCCACACATTTCCTTTCTGCTCTTGTCACACTGACCTTCAGGGGTCCTCGGGGGGTGGGGGAGAGACCCACTTCTCCCCTGATATCTCTGTAGGGAGCTGCCCCAGTTCCTCCCTAAATCACCTCAGCACCCCTGGCTGAGACCAGGGTGTCACCTGTAGTAAGACTCAACCAATATATTGGGGAGAAGTTCAAAAGAAAGTATAACTAAAGCTGCGCCTAAAAGTGGCTCATTGGGCGCCTGGGTGGC